GTTGTGTCATGTGTTGATAAAAGTGGTTGTTTTGTTTCNGGCTCAAGGTTGACTCAGCCTTCCATCCTTCCGAGGTGGGTGAAATGAGGACCCAGACTGTGGGGGCAATATGCTGACTCTGTAAGCTGCTTAGAGAGGGCTGAAAGCCCTATGAAGCGGTATATAAGTCTAACTGCTATTGCTATTGCTATTGCTGGTCCTAAAATGCTGCCTTGGGGGACACTGCTGTTAACAGATGCAGGATCTGATATGGCCCTCCCTATTTTGACCATTTGTTGCCTGTTGGACAGGAACGAGAGCTATCCAATTATGCAGGGGTCCAGAGATGCGATTTTACGATTTTAGTTTTAGAAGTAGTTTATCGTGTACCACTGAATCAAAAGCTTTACAGAAGTCTATGTAAATTGTGTCTATTGCTTTGCCTTGTTCGAACTGTGTAGTCCATAAGTTTTTGCAGTGCAGGAGTTGTAGATTACAGGGTATGTTTTTCCTGAAATCAGATTGTATGTTAGAGGGTAGGTTGTTCATTTCTAAGTGTAGGGTAATGGATTAGTGTATGATTGATTCCATGACTTTGCAGGCGACGCAACATAAAGAAATTGGTCTGTAATTTCCAACTAGGTTGTGGTCTCCCTCTTTGAAGATAGGGATGACTGTGGCTAGAGACCATAGGTTTGGCAAGGAGTGTGTTCTGAAACTTTTTTCAAAGATTATGCTTAGAGGTTCTGCTACGGCAGTGGAAAGCTTTTTTAAAAAGTAAAAGTGGCTTTCCAAATGTTCAAAGCTAAAGTGTCATTTATAATATTCCCATTTAGTTGCAGAGTTTTGATCTCTGATGGAAAAGGTTATTTCTTTGTTCTACTATTTTTGGAGCAACAGCTCCAAATATGCCCCCTCCCAGCTCTTTTCTCCTTGCAGGCAGTCTTTCCTGTGTAGAGTATAAGAGTATGACCTTATACTGTTATAAGTGTACATAGCGAACCAGAAGTCAAGTTACGACAAGCCATGTTCTCCCAAATGGCTTGTCACAATTTTACTTCTGGTTACCTCTGCTGCCTTATTATTTAGTAGAATTGTTTTGTTGGTTCTTGACAATATGTTAGTTATATGCCCTCCTGTTAATTTTTTTNTTCTATTCTATTCTCTCTTTTCTTCTCTATTCCCATTTGTATTCTATTCTATTCAATTTCCATTCTTATTCTATTTTCTCTTCTCATTTCTATTCTATTCTCTCTTCTCTTCTCTATTATTTCCATTATTATTTTCTCTTCTCTATTCTCTTCTTTCTTTTCTCTATTCTATTCTATTTCCATTCTTATTCTATATTCTCTTCTCTTCTCTATTCTCTCTTTTCTTCTCCATTCCCATTTGTATTCTATTCTATTCTATTCAATTTCCATTCTTATTCTCTATTCTCTTCTCATTTCGATTCTATTCTCTATTCTCTTCTCTATTATTTCCATTATTATTTTCTCTTCTCTATTCTCTTCTTTCTTTTCTCTATTCTATTCTATTTCCATTCTTATTCTATATTCTCTTCTCTTCTCTATTCTCTCTTTTCTTCTCCATTCCCATTTGTATTCTATTCTATTCTATTCAATTTCCATTCTTATTCTCTATTCTCTTCTCATTTCGATTCTATTCTCTATTCTCTTCTCTATTATTTCCATTCTTTTCTATATTCTCTTCTTTATTCTCTTCTCTATTCTCTTCTATTTCCATTCTTATTCTATATTCTCTTCTCATTTCTATTTTATTCTCTATTCTCTTCTCTATTCTCTTCTCTATTCTATTTCCATTCTTATTCTATATTCTCTTCTCATTACTATTCTCTCTTTTCTTCTCTATTCCCATTTGTATTCTATTCATTTCCATTCTTATTCTCTCTTCTCTTCTCATTTCGATTCTCTTCTCTTCTCTATTATTTCCATTATTATTTTCTCTTCTCTATTCTCTTCTTTATTCTCTATTCTATTCTATTTCCATTCTTATTCTATATTCTCTTCTCTTCTGTATTCTCTTCTCTCTTTTCTTCTCTATTCCCATTTTATTCTATTCAATTTCCATTCTTATTCAATTTTCTCTTCTCATTTCTAATCTATTCTCTATTCTCTTCTCTATTATTTCCATTCTTATTTTCTCTTCTCTATTCTCTTCTTTATTCTCTTCTCTATTCTATTTCCATTCTTATTCTATATTCTCTGCTCATTTCTATTCTATTCTCTATTATTTCCATTCTTATTTTCTATATTCTCTTCTTTATTCTCTTCTCTATTCTATTTCCATTCTTATTCCATATTCTCTTCTCTCTTTTCTTCTCTATTCCCATTTGTATTCTATTCATTTCCATTCTTATTCTATATTTTCTTCTCTTCTGTATTCTAATTTCTATTCTATTTCCGTTTCCATTCTTATTCTATACTCTTCTCTATTCTATTCTATTCTATACACACATACTCTTCGTCAAACTCAAACCGGACGTCACGAGTCGGGAGTGGGGGGGGCACCCTTTCCTCTATGTTTCTCCTGCCGCCGCTCTCGCGAGACTCGAGCGGCCGTTTGCGCGCGCCGCGCGGCCTCGACGTCTCGTGGGATCTGGAGGGCCCGCGCGCCGCGGCGGCGCGGGCCAGCCAAATCTCGCGAGATCCGGCTCATCCCCTCGCGAGAGTTTGGATTTGAAATGGCGGCGGGCGCGGCCTTCGGAGGCCCCGCTCGGCCCCGCTGAGGGGGCCGAGGGGT